GAAGACTGGGTTTTGAGCCCATCTCTGCAGCTTAATTGCTGGGTGACCTTGGGAAGACACTTAGATCCTTAGAATCTCAGTGTCCCCTTCTGTAAATTGGACTACTTAGGTCTACTTGGCCAGGTTGTTATGAGGTTTAGAGATAACGAAATGCCTACTAGAGTGCCTGGCTAAAGCAGATGCTCAGTAAATCACAGTGACTTGTGTTTTGCTGTAATGGGTCTCCTGGCAGGCCACCAGGAAACATACTCTGGCATTATAGAGTGCCCCAGATTCCTGAGGGCTTGGCATTCCTCTACCTTGAAGGGAATTGGCAGTAGTGCCCTAGTATGGACCCAGAATAGGAAACTGAAGTCCTTACACAGAGTTGGGCATAGAGTTAGTGTTTGTTGAGTTGAGTTGAGAGTTCACCTTTCCTTAGGATGTGTCTTAGCCTGGGGGCTCATGGCAGCCTGAGTCCATCTACCATCCTGGAAGTTCCCCCTGTCAGTGCTTCACCCTCCAACACTCCCCTGAATCATCCTGTGGAGGAGGCAACCAGATCATCTTCCTCTCCCTCGGAACCCAATTCGGAGGCAGAGCAGGATGGTAACGCTGATCCAAGTGTCTCTAACAGGGTCTTGACATAACCCTTGACCATAGCGTACACAAGCAGGAGACATTTTAGAATAAAGTCACTCGTAGAGTGCTTGGTGCTCTCTTCATATTACTATAATTCTAATTGTTGCTTTATCCCTTGAGAGAGATGGGTCTTTTTGAGAGCAGTTATCCCACGGCACTGATGAGAAAATTGAGTAGAACCAAACAGAACAAACGTGGCGGAAGCAAGAATTAGAATTGAAAATCACTGGCCCCTTCTGGTTTTCTCCAGTGCCAAGTCATGTTTTGCTCATTTTATTTGGCCAGTGAGGTAAAACCCCACACGGAGAGGAGGGAGTTACCGTTCCGTAATGGGTTAAAATCAAACCCCATTGTCCCAAGTGAGGCCTTCAGACAGGCTGACTCCCTGCATTTTTCCATGTCAAAATGCTCAAAAATATTTCCCTTGTGCTGTAGCAACGTAGCCAAGTCAAGTCTTCAGTAGTAGAAGTGCTCTGGGGCGCCTGGGTGGCTCAGTCGTTAAGCGTCTGCCTTCGGCTCAGGTCATGATCCCAGGGTCCTGGGATCGAACCCCGCATCGGGCTCCCTGCTCGGCAGGAAGCCTGCTTCTCCCTCTCCCACTCCCCCTGCTTGTGTTCCTGCTCTCGCTATCTCTCTCTCTGTCAAATAAATAAATAAAATCTTAAAAAAAAAAAAAGTGCTCTGAATATTTGCAGACAGAACCCCATTCCCAAAAGGCTCTATTAGCTGTATTTGCATAGAAAACAATCGCATCAATACGGTGAACACTGACAGTTCTTTTATTTGACTTTTAGATCCAGTGAGACGGACCTGGAAGTGTTTTTCTGGCTACCATTTGGTCTATTTAACTCCACTGTTGGAAAGGTTTCTCAGACTCCGGCCTTGTCCTTCTAATTTATATCCACAGATTCAGTTTCAGGTCTGAGAATTAGCAGCCAATTTCACGTGTCATTTCAGTCCATAAAGAGACAGAAAGTACTTTCTCATCAAAACAGCCCCTTCACCCCTTTGTCCTCCCAATCTCAGCCTGAGACCCCGCCGCTCTAGTTGACTTTTCCTCACTTTTTACCCTGCTTCCTCCCCTCACTGGTCTGGAGATCAGAAGAATCCACAGCAGTGGTCCCTTCCATCCCCTGCTCCCCCTGTCCTGCCCCTCCTGCACCTCCCCTCCTATACCTCCCCGCCTCTCCCTGCCCCTCCCCGCCACCACGGAGCCTGTCGGTCCAGCCCTGCCTTCTCTCCAGCCAGCCCTGCACCCCTGGGAAGCGCTCAGAGAGCCCTGCAATCTCTGCACATGCTGAGCTTTTCGTTGTATGTGCTCCACCCAATAGTTTTTGATTCATGAATATTAAATAATTAGAGCTCACCCCGGCTGGACCTCCGTCCTGCACCCTTTAAAAACGTAATAGCTTTTTTATTTCATGGCACTTGACTTTGTTTATTCAGCACGATCAGGGCAGCATTCAGGCTATAGCAGGCCTGTTAAATATTTACCCACAAGACGGATATTTATACATGAATCAGCAGCACTTATCAGTATATGATGCTGGCAGTCAGGTTCAGTACCCTCACAAGCTGAGGAACTACTGAGTTAAAGAAAGGGTGCAGTAAGTGTCCTTTTAAAAATAAATCCAGCGCCTGTGGTTGTTTGATGGTTGGGGTGGGAGAGACTGAGGTAGGAGCAAAATGCACGGGAATGCTTGCTCTGCTGCAGGGTGGAAAATTGTAAAGAGAGATGAGGTGTACATCACAGAGCCTGCTTCAGTGGTGGTCTGGGTACTTCTGGAAGCCCGATGGCATCACTGCAGTCCCGACCTGGCTCACAGGGGGCCACACCCTCTCTTTCTTCCCATCCCTGGAGCTGTTACAAGAGTCAAATCCCCCTGCTCTCAGGGAGGCACGGAATCCGGCAGTAACAGCGTGGACTCCGGCAACAGGCCAACCCGAGTTCAGATCTTGGCTTTACCATCTCCTAGTTGTGTGAACCCAAGGGAATTTCTTCTGCTGTCTGAGCCTCAGTTTCTTCACCTGTAGAATTACAGTGCGAATTCTCACCTCACTGAATTGTGGGGAGGATTAAATTAGGTAATGAGAAAGCACCTAGCAACAAGTGTTAGTTTCCAATAACCACAGAGTTCAGAGAGATGGGCCCGCTGGCCAAGCAGCCAGTCTTTGGACTTCTCCACACCTCTGCCTCTTTCCATCATTATAGGTAATTTTTTTTTAATGGCTATGTGTCAGAAGCAGAGGGAGTCTCAAGTTTAGAGGATTACCCACAGACTATTTTCATTTTTTTGTATTCAATTTAATGAATGATTAAGAACTTGTCCTGTAATATTGTATACAGGTCGAAGCCCATTGTAATCAATTCCAGGAAACTGTCCAAATTATTTTATTTTCTGGAATTTCATTATGCTAAAGATTGTTCTTCCAAGTATGCTATGAGAAGCCTGGATCTTGGTATTTCTATGTTATACAGGTATTTCCCCCCAGGAACGACAAGATAAAAATATTGGATCTCTTTCTCTTGTACTATAGAATTTTCTTCTTAATCAGTTTCCATCCTAATGGAACTGTTAGAACCTTCCACTTAAAAGTGTGCTCTCTATGTACTTTTGCATACAAAAGAGGGGACAAAAAGCCTTCTTCCAGTACACAAGAAGTCATAGGAATTTTCCTAGCTTCCTTCGGAGTTTAGGCTGAATCTCCTCCAATGTCTGCTCTGAGAGTAGCAAACGGAAGTGATGTTCTTGCTGATTCTGTGCAGTTGCAGACTGTAGATGATTCATTAATGTCATACTTAGTCAAATGCTGTCTCATAATTTTCTCAGTTGTCAGGGTTGTTGTGCTTTTTAGGTCTCATCTGAATAGAAAAAGTCAACAGCAAATATTTCCACCCTGTTGACTTCCTCACATCACCCGGGATTTTATTCACGTGTTGGGGTTTTTTCATTCCATAAATAAATAAACGTAATATCCATTTCTACTGGAAAAATTAATTTCAGGAATCTTTGGTCAATAGGGAGACAGGCTGGGTCTAGGACCCTTTCAGTACTTACATGTATTGTTCCCTGTATTGCAAACCCTAGGCTAAGTCTGTCTGCTCTAAACTAAGAATGATTTTCTAGACTGTTATTGTGAAACACTTTGCTTCCATTTACAGCCTTGTAACTAGGGATTTGGTTAATGAATAATCACAGCATTAACGGATCTTAGGGGTCTCTTTATACCCCATCATATTACAGAGGTGGTTTAAGGGGCTTTTACAGTAAGAAACGTATACGTTAAAATAAAATTCAAACAAGAAAAGCAAATTAGGACCAAAGGAAAGTGAGAGTAGGAAAGAAGATGAAATCAAGATTAAGGATGGGATATGAAATGTATACTGTGAGATTCTGAGCAGTTTCTTTAATAATGGTATGCTGGTTGATTTAAACTGAAAGGGAATCTCCACGAAAGTCCTGGAAACTATTTCTGGATCAGTGTTGTGTCTTAGTGCTTGGATCAATGATTTTTGACTGTACCTTCTTGTTTAGATGAATGTCAGTGTTGACTTGGACTAGTTGCAGACTTTACCCATATCGACCTACAGACACAGGATGGAGCAGCACAGTGTTTCAGAAGAGGTTTAGTTAGTTGCCACCATTTAAAACTTGAGAACTTAAATCATCTGGATTTCTGGCGTCACGTGAAAAATAAGGGTCTGTGAAGACCAGGCTTGTGTTTCCACCATGGCAGAGATTAGCTGGAGTTGGAGGGTGGAGAGCCCTTCCCACTGTGCAGAAACTACAGTTCTCTGTGCTCATTTATATCACCTCCCTGGGCTGGGTGGAGCCTGGAGTCTGCAGCCCCTGTCCTACACCACTGGCCCCACACTAAACTCGAGGAGGCTAAAGCCCCAGGAGGCTTCCCCCGGGCAATAAAGCTGGTAAGGGGCAGAGCCAGTCCCTCCATTGCACCGTGGTGGTGCTGAAGGAATTCAGTTCAGTTCAGTATGGGGGTTTAAGGAATGACTTCTCTTTGCCCAGCACATAATGGAGAGTATGGAAATGTGTGTGTCCATCCAAGGTCCAACCCATTAATATTGGTAAGACATTTACCCACGCCAGTCAGAATGTGCCAATTTGTCCTGTTGTGTGATAGAATCATTAGTTTTTACTGATCGTTAGTTGGTAGTCATGGGCAATCTGAACATGCTGATTTAACAAAACAGATAAAAATAAAGAAATGTAATCATAAAGTGAAGCCCATGTTCCCATCCTCATTAACTCAAGTGGTTGGTGGGCAGACGTTAAGAGAAGGCGAGTCTGTTTGGGGTTATCGCTTCCTACATAGCCAGAGCCCTAAGAGAAGTGTCCCTTGTACTCTTGTCCTTTCAGTGCCCTTGGAGGCTCCTCAGCTCTGCATATCCCAGCCTTTCCCGGAGGAGGATGTCTCATTGATTATGTGCCGCAAGTGTGCCATCTACTCACCAACAAGGTAAAAGCCGGTCTCCTGACCCTCCCCTCGTGAGGCTCCTCCCTCCAGCGGAGCCCCGCCCCCGCACTGTCGGCGTTGGCCTGCAGGCTGTCCTCTGCACCCCGTCTTAGCTTCAGCTGCCACCTGACGCCGGCCTTTACTACTTCGAGTTACAGTTCACCCATTTCTCTCCCTAGTTCCTTGTTCTCCTTCTTCCTCTCCTAAGGATTCTGACCTCCCGTTTCAGTCTTATCTTCATCTTTTAAATTTCTACCTCCTCCTCCTTAAATTTCCTCTATGTCCTAAGTTTTTGCTAGATCTTGCACCTTTGAAGTCCTCCATTTCCCAGTTATCTCATGCCGCATGCATGCATGAGTGTGGGTGTGTGTGAGTGTGTGTTTGCCACCAGTGAGTATCAAGGTAATTCACTAGAACTGCCTTCACCTCTTTCTGCTTTTCTCTACCTCACTTTTTACTACTCAGTGCTTGATTCTCCACCTCCTGTCTAGGAGCAGCTTGCCAGAGTCCCACTCCCAGGGGCAAGATTTCCAGGTCAGCTGGTCCGGTAGGCAGGCCCATCAGGTTATCTAAAGCTTTCTCTTAGCTGCATGAATGAGTCAGTACATTGGCGACTAGCTGAGTTTACATAAATGGCTATTGCCAGATATTTCTAAAAAGTATAAGTATATACTTGTTAATGCCCAGCCGGTGTAGTTAGCTGAAAACCAGAGATGTTCGTCCACAAGCAATACTGACTTTCTTTCTTCCACATCGACTGACTCCGTTTGCTCAGTTCCCAAAGTACTGTTTCCTATGCTCCTATTGACTTGTGCTCATTGGCTTGGAAAAGAAATCTTTTGTTTGTCTCTTTCTTTCAAAAGATAGCTCATCTCTGTAGAGGAAATATTTTTAAAGTACAATAATATTTCAGAGGCTTCAGTATTATTTTTTAAATGTCAGGGAAACGAAAATCTGGCAAGTCTGCAGTCTCTGGGCTTGGCGCGGACTCCAGGGCATCTAACTCGTGGGGTGGTTGCCTCTCATTGGACCAAATTCCCCCAGCCTCTGCCCTCCTTCAAAACTGATCAGAGGATAGAATTCTTATTTACGTTGTGGGACTTTGCACTGCCTTCAAATCTGTGTCCCAGTATTATAGAGAAACATACAAATTTGATCTTCCAGAACTGAGAAGAAAAGCCTTTTTTTAAAGCTCTCCAATTGAGATTAATTTCTAGTCATACATTTTCCTCAAAAAAAAAAAAAATTCTATTACCATTTTCCCAGATATACAAGAATCAGTCTGTTTTTCTTATCTGGTTCCCTTTCATTAATTTTACTTGTCTTTTAAAATTGATGTTCTTATGCTTGCTACAAAGGAGGACAGTATGGGCTGCTTTTAGAAACAATCTCTTCAGATGAATTTCCATAATTACGTTGGAATCTATCTTTATAGCCAGTTTTGTTGTGGGTTTCTGTTAAAATGGTTTTCTGTTTTTAAAATCAAGTACACAGTACTGTTTTCATCCCCTTTTTAAACAAAGCCACTTAAGCAAACTTATCATCTGTTTTTCTTTTCCCAAAATAACATTTCTGATCCTGCATTAAGCCTGCAAAGTAAGCACTGTTTTTATAAATTGACATAAACCCCTATTATATAAATAGAATTGTTTTACTTCTAAAGGGTACAAAGTGGGCTATCACTACCAATTGTGTCAAGGTTATTTCAAGCACTTTATCTCAAGCTTTTGTTAGCCATGGAAACTCGTTGTGGCTACAGCCAATATAAACAATTTGGGGGGCCTCTTTCTCCCCTGTTTCTTTGAGCCATTTCTTGAGGACATTATAAGGAATGTATTTTTGTGTTAGTAGCTGGTGGGTAAATGACTAACTTTCAGATGTCCAGCTTAGTAAGTTCACAATTTTTTTTATAAAAACTGCCATTTGGTGATAACAAGGAAATATAAAAAGGCAAAATAAAATCCCCTATTGTAACACTCCTTTCCTGGATATTGGGAATTTGAAAAGAAAGAATTCAACGTTGTCCTGCCTTTTCAATAGGAGTTGTAGTTCAGCATAAAATAGCCCCCATTTGATGAGAGGAAGCTCTTCTTTACAGACAACTGCAGGTGATAAATGCACAATAGAGTGATAGAATTTAAAAAGTCGCCATTTTTCAGCTCCTAATGAAATAATTGATTCAGACAAGCATCTCCAGCAGGTACTAAAACCATGAGGTGAAAGGTTGAGAGAGGGGCTAGATCTTCACAGGCTTTAAGAAGTATACCCGCGGGTCACTCCTGGCGGCAAAGGGGAAACCTCCCTTTACAGTGGACTGGTCCTGTTGTAGTCCCCTTTACAGTGGGTAGTCCTGCTGTCGTCCCCTTAACCAGTGATCAAGCCCACTCTCACCTATGAGGTTTTCTTGCCAAAAATTTTTAACCTGAATCTAATCACACCTTTAGTCTAACTTCCAATTTATAGGAAATGTAGGGAGTAGAGGGAAAAGGAAGGAAACAACCAGAGAGTCTAGAATGCAGAACATCCTACATGACAACTAGCTCAATTTCTCTGAAAAGTCAATATATATCACATAGACATATGTACACACCCCAAGAGGTACTCTTATTCTACATTAAAAGACTTTCTAGATTAAATGCCTGATCCTTGATTATACCCTCGATTACACCCTGCCTTTAAAAGAATATTTTGGGGACAACTGGAAAATTGTGACAATGCACAGGATACTAGATGAAGTCAGAGAATGATTGCTAGATTTGTTTGGGGTATGATAATGACATTGTGGCTCTGTAGGAAAATGTCTTGTTTTTTGGAGATACACGCTCACCTGTCTAGGGCCAAACTAACTGTCATGGTGTCTCTAATTTCCTTTGAAGTGTTTCAGCCAAGATTGATTGATAGCTTGATGGGGAGGTAGATGGCTGGATGAAGCAGCTAGACAAAATATTCACAGTTGTTGAACATAGGTGATGGGGATGTGGGTATTCATTTTACCGTTCTTTCTACTTCTCTGAGTCTCGGAAATGTAAGAAAGCATTTGAGAATTCCCTACTCCTCATCTTCGGGTTCTGTTCCAGGTGCAGTATGTGATTCAAGGGTACCACAAAAGAAGGGAGTATATTGCTGCTTTCCTCAGTCACTTCGGCACGTAAGTTCCTCCTTGTTTAAACTGCATGCCAGGGCGCCTGGGTGGCTCAGTTGGTTAAGCGACTGCCTTCGGCTCAGGTCATGATCCTGGAGTCCCGGGATCGAGTCCCGCATCGGGCTCCCTGCTCGGCGGGGAGTCTGCTTCTCCCTCTGACCCTCCCCCCTCTCATGCTCTCTGTCTCTCATTCTCTCTGTCTCAGATAAATAAATAAAATCTTTAAAAAAAAAAAAAAAAAAAGAATATCAAGACTGGGGCGCCTGGGGCGCCTGGGTGGCTCAGTTGGTTAAGCGACTGCCTTCGGCTCAGGTCATGATCCTGGAGTCCCGGGATCGAGTCCCGCATCGGGCTCCCTGCTCGGCGGGGAGTCTGCTTCTCCCTCTGACCCTCCCCCCTCTCATGCTCTCTCTCTCTCATTCTCTCTGTCTCAGATAAATAAATAAAATCTTTAAAAAAAAAAAAAAAAAAGAATATCAAGACTGGGGCGCCTGGGGCGCCTGGGTGGCTCAGTTGGTTAAGCGACTGCCTTCGGCTCAGGTCATGATCCTGGAGTCCCGGGATCGAGTCCCGCATCGGGCTCCCTGCTCGGCGGGGAGTCTGCTTCTCCCTCTGACCCTCCCCCCTCTCATGCTCTCTCTCTCTCATTCTCTCTGTCTCAGATAAATAAATAAAATCTTTAAAAAAAAAAAAAAAAAAAAGAATATCAAGACTGGGGCGCCTGGGGCGCCTGGGTGGCTCAGTTGGTTAAGCGACTGCCTTCGGCTCAGGTCATGATCCTGGAGTCCCGGGATCGAGTCCCGCATCGGGCTCCCTGCTCGGCAGGGAGTCTGCTTCTCCCTCTGACCCTATCCCCTCTCATGCTCTCTCTATCTCATTGTCTCTCTCAAATAAATAAATAAAATCTTAAAAAAAAAAATAAATAAATAAACTGCATGCCAACAATGTCCTCGTGTCCTGATGACCCGAATGTGAGAGCTTAAGAAAATAGCACTTCGTGCTTCTACATACTAGCTTTTCAATGCCATTTTGAGTCTTTTGGCCTGTTGCTCACACTAAAGCTCCTAGGAAGATCGTTTTTAGGATCCTTTGCTAAATCAGAGAAGCAAATCTCTTCCTTGGAGCGGCATCATGACTAACCACAAACCCAGCAGTGACAAGGGCAGCACTACCTGCTTGTTCTAGGGCTCTTTACAGTTTGCACAGTGCTTTTCACCTCCGTCTGCTCCCCGGAGTCATGAGTGAGCCAGCCATGTTGGCACAGTTGACTCAAGAAAGACCTGAAACTTTGAGAAGCCTAGTAACCCGAGGGAAGTCACCCGCCTGGCCGAGATCGCGCCAGGTGGGAGCCCGGGTTCTCAGGACTCAGGTGTCCCGACAGGGCTCCTACTCGCAACTTGCCACCCAGATCTGGGGACGAAATCCAGCATTAGACCCAAGAGCAGTGACTCCCACTTAGGATTAGGAGGAGGCACAGCGAGGGAAGGGGGGCACCTGTGACTGCAGGTAGAGGGGGCATCTCCTCCTGCTGCTACTCACCCCCCCACTCCCCTCCCCCTTCCCGCCTCGGCCCTCCCCCCCTTCCGCTGGGGCTTAGCCCAGGGGCACAGGGAACCTGTTTTCCCCAGTCTTCTTCAAAAGGTGGGGCATTCTACCCATTCAGGGGCACTGAGCACTAAGGGGGTCAGTGGTCTGCTTATATCCCACCTTATTCTGGAGAAGGTTTATAAATACAAAAAGATATATATAGTAACACAAAATTAAAATTTTAAATAAGGAAATGAATAAATTAGGACCAAAAAAGTGGGAATAGGAAGGAGCAGGTGAAATAAAGAGTAAGGTTGGCCATTCCCTGGGATATAATTTTATAAAGTGTGGCATAGTTATGGGGACAAAATTTCTGACTCCTCAAAAACAATTTTAAGAAGTTTTCTCATTATCCCTAGTGGAAATTTTTATGCCTCCAAAATAGAACTGTCAATATCTAAACAGTGTGACTGTCTCTCACATGAGTCTTTAATACTTATGATTTTTTTCAACTTTATTTATGAACATTCTGAGAAAGTACTGAGGATACAAACAGTGGTTAATAAATGATACCATTGGTCTTCTGATTTTTGAGGAAGATTATCTTTAATATGTATAATTAAAAATGAAGGCACTAGCAGAGTAACCTCCCAGGTAGGGTGTGTATCCCCCCTCACTCCACTGGCACACAAGAAAAATAGGAAAACTGCATTTACATCTTTTTAAAAATCTCATTCTTGGGGCGCCTGGGTGGCTCAGTTGGTTAAGTATCTGCCTTCCGCTCAGGTCATGATCCCAGGGTCCTGGGCTTGAGCTCTGCATCCTTAGGCTCCCTGCTCAGCGGGGAGCCTGCTTCTTCCTCTGCCCCTCCCCCAGCTCATGCTCGCACTCTCTCTTCCTCTCAAATAAATAAATAAATCTTAAAAAAAAAAAAACCAAAAAACTCCTTCTTTTTAAATATACATTTTGTATGTGTTTTATTATGCATCCAACACAGTAATATAGTCGTACCTGTATACAACTGCTAAATCAAATACAATTGCTATTATATTACTATACTGTGTGCATAATGAAAAGGATTCTGTGCTTGTTTTTACTTAAAGCATGCAGGATCTGAAAAGTTTAGATAGCAGTGTTGTAAAATACTGAGTTGATTACAAATTCATGAAAAGAAATATAAACTGATGAATAAGATTATTAACCTAAGTCAGAAGATCTGAATGATAGACTAACAGTCTTTGAGCAAATCACGCAGCCTTTAGTGTCTTAGTTCCTTTACCTTTACAGTGAGTTCCCCCTTCCTGCTTAAACTGGGAGGCCATCAGGATTGACAGTCTGATTGGCCTGACTCAGCCAGGGAGACAGCAGACGCCTCCTGGTGTGAATGACAGAGACAATGATGTCTGTCCTCAGTGTGTGGTTAGTATTGTCATGTTATGGTGACATGTCCCAGGCATCAGCTCTTGTGGAAAATGGGGGAGGCGAGCCTATCGGAAGTCTACCCAGGTGCTTCAGTGGTCCAGGGCCGTTCTCCTTGACATGTGACCCGTGTCCTGTGTCTCCCACCCGAACCAGCACCCACCCAGCTAATATGGCTTCTTTGTCTTGAGCCTGGTGGGGAGGACAGGGGCCACGAGTGAAAGGATTCCAAGTGCTTTGGAAGAAAATAATATAGATTCCTAAACTGAGTAACATTGTCATTGCTCATTACTGCTTAGTGGCTATGTGAAAGTGAGACTTAATCATCACCCAGAAAGTAGTGTCGTTGCTGACCTGATGGCTTCACTTGTCCTGAAGTCATAATAGTACATAGCAAAACTGAAACTTAAACGTAGATGCTGTCATTCCAAACCCCACGTCCTTCCTATGGTAACACTCCCTTAACGCTAAATGCGTCTCAGATTCAATCACCGTGATTTTATGAATATGTTCTTTACTTGGTTCCATCTCTCTTATGCCTTATTTTGATGAGGGTTTTTTCTTTGTGTGTGTGTGTTTTTATCACCTAGAGGCGTCGTGGAATATGATGCAGAAGGCTTTACAAAACTCACTCTGCTGCTGATGTGGAGAGATTTCTGTTTTCTTGTGCACAGTGAGTATACTTCTGCTGGGAGCATGTCAGCATACATTTGCAAAGTACGAAATCATATGTAAAAATGACTATGAAAACCTTTAGTGTCCTGATGTGGTATGTGGTTCCTTTTACTTTAGTATATTTACCCACATGGTCTTAAAGAGAAAATACCTCTAGACCAGTGGTTCTCAACCAGGTATAATTTGCCCCTCGGCAGATGTTTGGCAGTGTGTGAGAACATTTTTGATTGTCAGGATTGAGCAGGGCGGAAGTGGGGATTGTGGCTTCTGGCATGTCGTGGATAGACGGCAGGAATGTTGCAAGACAGTCCCCCAACAGCAGCAAAATTATCGGGTACAAGATGTCAGTAGCGCCGAGTTGAAGAAACCCTGCCCTGTGTCCTGGGTTCCAGATTCCTGTTTCAAAGCGTCTTCCCAGCATGAGGTTCCAAAACTGTCAGGATTATTCAAAACATATTTGCTTTGGTCATGTGGTTATCATCCTTATTAAGGGAAAAGACTACAGCTTTGATAATAATATAATAAATAGTTAAAAGGTGAGACAAGTTGGAATGTATTCCCAGCATCACTTTTCAGTTTTATTCCATAGACAGCCATCTTATTTTAAATGCTTGTTGTGTTACATTAATCAACGAGTCAGTAAACTTTGGTCCAGCTTTCTCTCTCTCTTTTTTAAATTAATTTATTTATTTTAGAGAGAGAGAGAGTGGGGTGGTGCAGAGAGAGAGTCCCAAGCAGACTCTGCACTGAGCATGGAGCTCCATGCGAGGCTCGATCTCAGGACCCTGAGATTGCGACCTGAGTTGAAACCAAGAGTTGGCCATTTAACCAACTGTGCCACCCAGGCACCCCTGGTCCAGCTTTCTCTTAATAGATAATTTGAAGTTTCTTCTGTTTATTTCTTTGTTATGTAAGAACCACTGACCCATGGTGCCAGGTTCCAGTTGCAAGTCAACCAAGACCTTTATTCTTTAGTAATTTGACATGGACAATGCCCAGTCTTCAAGCCAAAGACACAGAAGTTCCAGCTCTCCCAAGTCAAGTTACAGAAGAGCAGTGGGCTGGGGTTGACTTCACCTACTGGATAGAACTACCCTTGACCTTAAATAAACTATTCCAGGAAGAGGCGCTTTGGCCCTCTTTAGCCACAAAGGCATTGGTTTGGGGGTTTTTGTTTCCCCAGCAGACTGACGTTCTTGGTTGTGATTTGCGTAGACTAAAAAAATGGTTCTGAAATTCATTTGTCTTACCCCATTTCACACCAACAGACAGTAAGGGAGGAAAGCCTTCAATACCATGGTATAATCTGCACAGAGAGAACGGAGAGTTGGCTATGTTTTTAAGGTGTTTCCCAATGATAAACACCTTGCCATGCAGTGCTTCTTATTGAGCTTCTACTCTATAGCGAGTTATACACTGGGACCATCTCTTCAGATGCATCTGAAGAATGCAAGCATATTGCTGTGTATTAATTATGTGCACAGATAAAAAGAAATGGGAGAGGTAAGATTTTAATTTGGGTGTTCCTCCAACTAGTTGCACGACATTGTTCAAATCACTAGGACAAGCTTCCCTCCACTTGAGTTTCCTCATGTGTACACTGGGGATCTGGTTGTTAAGTCCTGTGGAGACACTCAAATATGGAGCTTAACCCATTACACAGGGCCAGGTGGAAGAGGGAGCCTCACAGTCAAGGCCTCCTGGCAATCTCCTCTCTGCCTGCCATCTTATGTGGCCCTAACTGGTACTTCCAGCCACCACTTTTGATTGTCACCTTATGTGTTGCTGTTTTGTTTTTTCATTCTGAGCCTTAATTCCTTTGTGAGATCTCATTTCCTACTTGCCATATTCACTTTGTGCACCATCCTGATCCCAGTGATTCTGCCTCTAGCCTGGTAACCTGCCCCCAGATCCTGATTGCATCCTTGGTTTGTCTCTCATGACCCTGGACAGTTGCCTGGGTGATCCAGTTGGTATGACTCCCCTAGCGCAGCTCAGCAAGAGGGGCCTGTGCCCTGCCTCGAGTCGGTGGTGGCGAAAGTCAGAAGCCTCCCGGAGTGGCTCTGAGAGGACACAGAAGGAGGGACACACAGAAAGACAACTGCAAACGTTAAATTAGAGGAATGCTCAACCAAAGTGGCATGAAATCTCAGCTCTTTAAATGAAATTTACTTTGGTTGTCTAGCCGTGATTCTGTTCTCAAAAATCTTGATGTCAGATCATATCAGATAGAAGAAAAAAAAGATATTCTTAGCATTGCTCATTCTCACCTGTGCTTTCCACATGCAACTCAAGAGTCACTCTTCTGGTGGTGGCAAGCAAGAACGACGCCCAGGGATAAAGGAGTACTCACCTGCAGCCCCTGCACTCCCTTAGTAGGCCATTTGGTGTTACAGCACTTCTCGTTTCTGTGGAAGGTCTGTTCCCCAAAGGATGTTTCCCCTGGTACCACGTGTCCAGTATTTCTTACAGCTCCTTCTCCACCTTCTGTCTTAGCTTCCCCAAGCCAGACATGTAACATGCAGTCCCAAAGTCATATTTTCATTTAGTTTTGGTTACCTTCTCCAGAAATGTAGAACCCACGGGCAGTCTTTGGAACAACTACAAGGACTTTGGGATTCATTTAACTTACTTTTTCCAGAGTGTTTCCTCAGGCTGTTATTCTCCTCCTCCCTAGGCTGCTTGCCCCTTGTGTCTTAGCGTCACTGTCTACACTTACGGTTCTTGGGCAGATGTGACCTTGTCTGTGAATCAGGGGACTTGATGCTGTTTCCCACTCCATCATTAACACACAGCCTGTCTTTAAATAAATTATCCCTTCCCTATTGCTTCTTCTATCTAAAATGTAGGACTTGGCTGCATCAGAGTGACGCTTGGTTGGATAACGTGTCTTATTCCATCATGCAGTTAAGCATCTGACACTTTCCTTTGGAAGTGTCTGCTTGCTTGGTTACAACACCCAAAGGACCACTTGTTCCCTTTTTTTCTTTCCATGAGGATGGGGGAGTAAATACGGGCTGGCAGAGACTTAACATTGCTGTGAAGTATTCTGAGTTTTCAAGAACATGAAGGAAGGAAATGCCTAGAGATGGAGCCAGGCTTCCGGGGCTGGTTCCACTGCTAGATGGAGAGTGGATACCTGGCTGGACACCAGATAACATCCCTGCTCTCCTTCCTATCTCCCCCCTCTCCCAGGCCTGGGAAGAAGATGGTCACTAGGGCAGGTGCTGGTAATAATTCTGAGCATTTTGGATGCTAGAGGAAAGAGGCACTCGTCTCTTGAGGCAGATGGTTCTGACCTCACACTTTGCTATAGTGTCCGGAAGCAAGAATGCCCTCGGGGAAAACATTGTGCATATTCTGGGATCTCTCAGGAGACACTGCAACCTCCCCACATCCTGACAGTTTCAGGAGTGGGGATGTGGCCGTGATCATGGCCGTGGAGTTTTTTCATCCATTTATTCCTTCTTTCCTTCCTTCCTTCATCCATGATCAACATACTGCGAGACTTCAAACCATGCAAGGATCAGGGAGTGCTGCCATCCGAAAACTGTTTTCAGGAAGGTTTCCTGGCCATCATCTAAGAATTGTTTGTAGTGGCTATGGAGGTAATTCCATATTTGCCAAGCTCTGGAGGGAGATGTTACCTTTAAGCCAGCACCTTTTCAGAATGCTGGGTGACAAGAGAACCAGTCAGCCAAGCACAGTAACACAGAACAAAAGCAGTCACTGGGAGAAACATCAGCTCTTCTTCATGGTCCCAGAGAGGAGGCAGCCGCCTGTGGCAGCAGGATTGCTGCTTCGAAGTGGAGGGTATTGAGATCTGTGACTCCCAAGGCAAGTGAGAGAGCGTGTGATTGTATGACAAGCTGTCTTTTCCCATCACCCGTAAATCCTTGGTAAGTGACCCTTTGAGTCATCCAGCCTGGACCAGAGGCCATGTCTCCCTGGCGAAATGCCTGTTATTCTAAATCTGACCATTTGGGCTGTTCCATTTAATTTCTTATCCTCTCTACCCCTAACCCAATCACTTTAACCCAATTCAACTGAGTTCTGGGTTTATTGAGAACCTGTATGTGCTCAGTACTGTGAAAGTTCCCAGGGGATATAAGTAAATAACTCAGGCTTGACCTTAAGACACTTAGAGTCTGGCATAAGAATTGGCAAACTACGTCCTGCAGGCCAAATCCCACCCTCAGCCCGTTTTCAGATGGCCCTCAAGCTAAAAGTAGTTTCTGTGTTTTTAGAAGGTTATTGGGAGTGCGGGGAGGAAGAATAGGCAACAGAGATGGTAAAGCCTAAAATACTGACTCTTTGACCCTATACAAAAAACGTTTGCAGCCCCAGGTCTAGTTGCTGAGAACAGAGATCAGATAACGGTGAATTACAGTGGTATGCATTTTTTAAAACAAATAGTTTGTGAGCTTGCCTACTATATGCCAGGCACAAAGAGACATAGGGCAAAGAGAACTTCATGTGTTTTATATATAAGAGAGAGATGTAGAAAAGGAGAGAGACCCTCCCTAGTGGAGTCTAATGAGAGAGACAGACAATAAAGAAGTAAACGATCAGATATATAAATTTCAAATGCTGACAAATACCATAACGGAACAAAGCAGGGGGCCACAGAGACCGAGGGGAGGTGTTGTTGGGTCGGTCAGGGAAGACCAGTTCCTCAGCTGAGGGGAGTAGACTCATCTCCTTGCCACAAAAACAACGTCTTGTAGACTATTTAGCAGCAACAAGCAAGATGGCTACTAGGTAATTCAGTAAAACCAAAATTGTGAGGTTTTTTAAAACTTGCTGAGTTTTTGGATGCAAATCACATTTTTATATAAATAAATAGATTTGAAGAACAAATCAGAATGATTAAAGTGATTAAAATCAGGAACCACAATGTTAAATGTTAGAATTCGTTTCAAAGCAAATCTAGAAAAAGTGTAGTATTATTTTAAAATTCATATGATTACCTCAGATGAGGCATATATAAAGATTTGT